AATCTTGATGACAATCACCACTTGATGATATACTTTCCATGGGTTGTATGATATCTTCCTCTTGACGCAAGCCCATGGACACGTACCTAACCCCACATAGACTCTCACATAGACCATGGGTTAGTACACAAAGTGCAATGGACAAAACTTACCATACCATGGGATCACTTGATCCCTCTCGGTACATCTTCTACGCTTTGTGAGTTGATCAACTTGATTCACTCTTGACTTAGTCTTGATCAACCTTGAATCTTTCCAAATCTCTTCGTTTGGATGATGTCTTGAAGGTAAACATGAATGATCACACAATCTTCTTCTTCAAAACATGCTTGCAATAAGCTCAACACTCACATGACCAATCTTTGGATAATTCCTTAATAGCACCTTGGTCAACACATAAACTCCTTGAAACCAACACATGGACTTCAAGAAATGCCTATGGACAAATCCTTCAAATATAACTCAAGACAACCATTAGTCCATAGAGATTGTCATCAATTACCAAAACCAAACATGGGGGCACCGCATGTTCTTTCACAGGGTCAGGCCGTCCTTGGGCACCTCCACCTCCTGCGTGTCCGCAATGACCACTTCAGGGCCATGGCCGTGCACAGCAGGATGAAGGCCAGCAGCGCCAACAGCAACCAGCGGCAGGGCCCGCTCATCGACCGGCACAGCAGCCCCACTCTCCGCAGGCAGGAGGAGTCTGAAAAGCTAAAGGGCCAGCCCGAGTCGCCCTCCAGGCCGAGGACCGACCCATGGCCTGGCTGCCATGCGCTCCCAGAGAGCCCCACAAGTCTTCCACCTCCTGCTGGAAGGGTGCCATGTCGGGCTCCAGGAGACGCACGGGCACGCCAGGCAGCACCTCCTCTGGGGAGGCAGCAGGGTCAGCAGGCAGGCCGGGCAGCACCGGCGCCAAGCAACTGAGGCGGCGAACAGGCATCCTCGGAGGGCAGGCACCCGCGAGGGGAGTCAGGCGCCTAGCCGTCGACAGCCGCGAAGCGCTCGCGGGAACGCGAGCGGCTACGCCTCCCATCACTGGGGCTTGAACTGCCACCAAAAGCAGAGCCCGGCGAGAGGGCGCGGCGGCGGCCAAAGCGGCCACCCCTTCCTCCAGAGCTGCGGCTCCGCCCCTCTCTGACATCGCCGTCCGAGCGGCAACCCATAAGGCCTCCTCTCCAGGCGGCCCTAGGCTGATCGCGACGGCGCCTGCCTCGCCGATCTTCAAAGTCATCTTCATCATCGTCGCGTGGCCTTGGGCGCGGGGCAGGGATATGGGCCCCCGACGAGCGACGACGCCCAGTGTTGCCCTTGCCATCTTCGATGTCGAACGCCCAGCGGAAGCGGTCAGAGCGTGGCCACTCCACACCGGCCGCGCGCTCCTGCTCCGTCAGGGGCGCGAAGTCCTTGGTCTGATCGAGGTGGATCAAGACTGGGAACTGGGGACCATGCAGCCCATCCGCCCGCGGGCAGCCTTCAGGGAGAGCCGGCCTGCCGCGGCCCTCCGGCGGCCTGTCGAGGATGGAGTAGCCATTGCCCGTCGGGATGTCATCGGGGGACCAGGCCCAGGTCAGCGCCACGCCACGGCAGGAGGCGCAGCCCGCATCAATGGCCACATCACGGTGACGCGCATGGGCGAAACGGACGAGGAAATCCTCTGGGTGATGCTTGGAGACGTGCATCTCTTCCCAGGGGATGGCGAGGTCGCGCTCCAGGGCCTTGGCGATGAGCTGGGGGTTGATGTCCAGCCTGGCTTCGGACAGGGTCACGAGGACAGCAGTGGAGCGCAGGGCACGGGCAGCATCATCCATGGCCTGAGTGTAGAAGCAGAAGGTGGAACCCGCACCAGGGCGCTGAGAGGCCTCACCGGGACGGTATGCCATGGCAGGTGGGGTGGGACTAGGCAAGGCGGCCAAAGGAAATGACGGTGAGGCACGCTGCGGTGCGGGGGAGCGGGAGACAGAGCGGGCCCTTGGCAGGATGGGAGGGGGCGAAACGGAGGGGTGCAGTGGGAGGCGGCGGCGGCGGCGAGCGCACGGGGAGGAGGGGTGGGCGACGACGGAGGGGGCAGGCGGAGGAGCGGGACCGGTGGCCAAAGCCCCAGCAATCAGCGCAGTGCACTGGGTTCCGGCAATCCGAAGCGCGGTGGCGAGGAGCGAGGCACCGAAGACAGCAGCCCTTGAAGCGCCTTAAAAAGGCAGCCCTGCACTGCTCCGCCTTCAATTGCCCAGCCGGCGAGCGCTGGCGGCCATAACCCCTCCTCCGCGGAGAAGGTACGGGCGGCGCACGCCTCCGCCTCCTCGAAACGACCAAGTTCCACTTCGGGGAGCTGACTGGGTCGCGGAGCACTCCATCTCCATCAAGCCTCACAGAGCCGCAGGCCAACCCCTCCCGAGAGCAGTAATGGCGGGATCCAGACGGGACACAAACGATTGATTTAAGGTGCGCATCGGGGCGCGGCGCAGGCAGCGGCGGAGAGGCGCCCCGGGAGAACCGACGGATAGAACAGCGACCTCCAGCCTCCCTAGCCCCACTGTGACCAGGAGGCACACAGACTATGGATCTGAGGCGAGGGGGTAGGCCGGCGCAGGCAGTGAATGCCCCGAGCCCGAAAGGGGCAGCTGGGGTACGCTACCGCTAGACTGCCCCTCTTCAAAGCTGCCGCGGCCGAGCCTTGGGCAGCCAAGCCGGCCCGGCGACTGGCGCGCCGCCGAGGCGCCAGGTCCAGCCATCTCTGAAGACGCCCGCTCCTCATCTACCAGGAGGAGACGGATCCGGGCCGCAGCCGTGCCGCTCGAGCCGGGCGCGCACCAACGCTGGACAGGGGTGCACGAATCGGTGGCCGACGTGCCCGGAGTGGACAGCGCCGGTATGGTGGTCGCCGACCCCGAGGGGGGAGAGCGAGAGCGAGAGCGAGAGCTAGTCATGTGCTGGGTCTGCGATTTTTACATTCTGAAAACATATTTAGCTTGTAAAAATCCTAGCGGAGTTGGCTGCGCTCCTCCTCTACGAGCTGCAGCGGAGTTGGCTCTCTCTCTCTCTCACACACACACACATATGAAAATATCAGGGCACTAACTTCTTGTGCACTGGTTCTAGCTATGGGACTTAGCATGACGACTTCCCGACTGTCTAATACAATAAGTTTGTCCGGCTTCAGCGAGGGAGGGATGATAATGGTAGTGTGCCTTCGGCTCGCTTCAATGCTTGTAATTATCGCTGGGTGCTCTATGGATCTGGATGTAATTTTTATTATTTCTGATTTTCGTTCTACTGCCACGATAGAAGATGAATAGATCTGAAGTTTTTTCGAAAAGAAGTAGTAACTTGTGGTATCCTAGTCCTTTTCCAATCCTCAGCTTTTTAATATTCGACGCGAACATTCGTAGTGATGTTGTCGGTTGCGTCCCGCTGTATATGACCCCGTCTATGACGGGATGGATCCTGCACCACCCAGCCATACCAATGAACTCTCGACACGGGGTTTGGAGATCAACATTTAAACTATGTAAAAGCTACTCTTTATATGTTTCACATGGCGAGATTGGCATCCGAGAGGGAAAGGGCTCCGCCCCACTCCACTTCCACTATGAAAAAGGTGGCTTTCCTGACTAGGTCACGCGAATATGATTAGACCTCGGTGTGTAATTCTTTGTATACTATATTCCGGCGTGATCTGATTATGCGATCTTTGACACTTGGCTTCATCATTTCGGCACACATTCAGCTCACCTCTTTTGAGAAAGGCTACTAATTGAGGAGATCAACGAGCCATTAATTACACTGGCCCACTAGCCATGACAAACACACCACACTTTGCGTAATTGAGTGGTCAGGTTAGGTGCACCCATGGTATGCATCCCATCTTTTTGCAGACAAGACTTTTTTGTGAGCTTTTGTTTGTTTATATATCAAAAATACAAAGGTGAACATGGGTGCGCGCGCACCCACATGAATAGTAAATTCATAAAATATACTAAAAATTTAAAAATTTCTGAAATTTCGCGGTATAAAACTTAGTCAATCATTCTACTCACGTGTGAAGTTTCATGATGTATTGACATCCATGGTATTTTTAGTGCAGATAATACAAATGCAACTGTACTATTCATTAAACAGTGTTTTTTTAATATAGCTTGGATTAGTTCGGTTTTGTCAGTTTTACCCAGATTACCACGGATGTGATTTCTTCGTCAAACTTCATATGCGAGTACACTGGTTGACTATGTATATTACAAAAATAAATTCGGAATTTTTAAATTTTTTCTACCTTTTTTTAATTTACTATTCATAAAGGGTGTGTGTGCACCCATGTTCACCAAATCCGCGTCCTTTATATATGCATAGATTACTTTCTTTTGCAAGATAGAAGACTTGAATTGGAGTGTAGGTAAGGTACAACCTCTATTCCTAAATATAAGAGTTTTTTGCAGTGTTTCTTAGCTTGTTACCGGGAGAGACGAACAAAACCTTTACACAAAGGAAACGAATGCTGATGAAAAAGTTTGTTCTTTCAGCTTGTTACGGGTGAAGCAAGCACCGGTTTGCTTGTAAGTAGTAATTGTTTGGTCATATATAGCACCAGTATTTAATTAAGAAACCTTTACCAGCTAGAAGAGGAAACGGTAGCCATATGCCATTGTGTTGTGAATAGCAGGAAGATGATATAGTTTGAAATAAAGGCGAGAGAATAAAACGAACTACAAGATTATAGCTACGAAAGAGAGAGAAATCATTAATTAATTGGACAAGTATTATCAGTGCATCGTACCGCATCAAACAAATGTACTCCCTCCGTCCCAGTGTAGTGTCAAAAATGCTCTTATATTATGAGACGGAGGGAGCATTATTTAATGCAACTTACACAACCATGATTGTACTGCCTTTCCTTGTAAACTTGCCTGGGTTCTATAAAAAGCAGCGCTTCAGCACCCAAACGTACAACAACCGTTGTGCGCTTGTCAAACAAACAACAAACAATTGATACGAGCAAGGGAGCCATGGATCTGGCAACGGGCGCCATGGGCTCCCTGCTCCCCAAGCTGGTCGAGCTCCTCAAGGATGAGTACAAGCTTAAGGAGAGCGTCAAGGAAGGCGTCAAGTCTCTTGAGAAAGAGATGAAGAGCATGCAAGCTGCCCTCCGCAAGGTGGCCGAGGTGCCGCATGACCAGCTCGAGGAGCAGGTCAAGCTATGGGCGGGCGAGGTGAGGGAGCTGTCCTTTGACATGGAGGATACCATCGATAAATTCCTTGTGCGTGTTGATGAGGAATCTGAGTCTTCAACCAAGTCGAATAAGCTCAAACAACTGATGAAGAAGATGGCCGGCCTGTTCACCAAGGGGAAGGCTCGCCATGAGATTGCGGATGCGATCAAGGACATCAATAAGCAAGTCCAAGAGGTCGCTGATAGGCGTGCAAGGTACAATGTCGACAATATTGTCGCTCGGCCTGAAGTCGTGACACTTGATCCCCGCCTTCGAGCTCTGTACATGGAAGTGACGGACCTTGTTGGCATTTCTGGAAAAAGGGACCAAGAGCTGATGAATTTGTTGTCCGGGGGAGACGACATGTCCAAGACAACGTTGAAAATTGTCTCCGTTGTTGGATTTGGAGGATTGGGCAAGACCACTCTTGTCAAAACGGTTTATGACAAGATCAAAGAAGATTTCCATTGCAGGGCTTTTGTTTCTGTCGGTAGGAATGGCACCGCAAAAAAGGTTTTAGTGGACATCCTTCTTGCTCTTAAAATCTATGAAAGTCATTTCACCATATTTAATGAAACACAACTCATTGATGAGGTCCGGGAACGTCTCAAAAACAAGAGGTATGTACACATATCACCTCTCGTGCTTACTTTGTGGTACTATGTAAATTAATTATGATGTTACCTCCCCCCCCCCTTTCCAAAAATGGATGACATTTAAGGTTTTGCATATTCGTTAATGACTAACTTTGACTACTTATCTTGCACGAACATGTAAGTGAAACTTTATAAAGATATATGAGTTCATTATTTTCCATGAAAAATCTAGCATGATATTTCTGATTGAATAAATTCAAAAGGTATTTTTATTAATTGATATTAGAAAATAGAGAAGTTTGACTAGCTACATGTTTTCTAGGAAGTCATAGTCAAGAGAGATGGAGAACATAATACTACCTCTCTTCCGATTTATAAGGTTTATCTCAAAATTTTAGTTCTTCCGTTTTATAAGTCTCAATTTGATTATTTCCCATCACATATTCAGATTTTAAGGTGCATTAAATCACTGCATGCAAGCATTAAGAGAAAAATCATCAAAGCATGTAAAAGTTTTGGGTCATTTATTGGTGAAGCATGCATGCCGTACAGTTAATGCATTAATAAACACAATTTTTTTAGTGAAACGAACGCATTAATTGGGTACTTTTGCAAACTACAAAAAATATTCCACCACTCACCACTTATCCTGGTTGGTGTGATTTTTGAATTGAGCCCTAGGCTAGCCATAGTGGGAGAAACTTAGGGAGGCACTAGGGACTTTTTAGTTCCTGGAAACAAACAGGGAGAGACTTTTTAGGGACTAGAGACTTTTTAGTTGGGACTAGAAAAAGTCCTAGAACTTATGAACCAAACAGGACCTTAGGTAGTAACATAATGCACCCCAAGACATAATGCTTATGTGGCATGGAGTTAATGAGGAGAGAGGTGCTTGTGGTAACATAATATGTTACCGTAACATAACGCACCCCAATGCAAAATGAGTCTACAACATAATAAATGAAGGCTTGCATGACACTACACTTATGTTACTACCCACTGTGATGGCTACCCACTATGACTAGATAAAAAACGGAAGGGAGGATGTATTGAAGATTCTAGATTAGTTGGTTTCTTTATGCAACGTGATAAACCTGGCATAATTAATATTGTATTCTCTCATGCATAGATATATAGATCGTACTCAAACATTCCCTAAAAAGATAATA